GTTCTCAAGGGTGGAGAACCCTTGGCTCTGGGTTTTACCTGTCTATTCCCAAAGCCAGAAAATCACACCTGAGAAAGGGAGAATTCAAATGACCAACGTGCTGAGAGCAGCCAACACCCAGCTTCCCGAAGCTGAGCTGGGAGAGGTCACCTGGAGAAAGAGACATCGGTTTCTGGTCTGGATGCCTTCCTTCTTCATGGTCAGGGGTCTGTTAATCTAAACAAAGATCAATTTTTTTTTTTTTTTTTACTTTTTGGCTGCCTCTGAAATGCACAGGCTCTCCCACACCAACAAGGGTTCCACCGGCCGCCCCGGATCAGGGATCCGTTTCCATTTCAGCCGGCCCCTTCCTCTATCCCACTTGCTCCTGTCTCTTTCCCAGGGACTGAAGAACTCAAATACATACAGTTACCAGATGAGAGACCCATCTAATACAATTGTATTTCTCTGGTAACGAAAATGGAGTTCACTTGCCTTATTTCTTTAGAATTTCCTTAGACTATTTCATAAGAATCGAGGTGGTGAAGAATCTTCAAGAGGGAAATACCATTGTGTCTACTCTGACAAATCTGCTTCAGAACTTGAACAGCACTCCCCAGGTCATCAGCCTCTAGGTGGTTAAGGCCGTCTGCCTTGAAGAAATGAGGACTCTACCGCTCTACTGAATAACTTGTGGTTGCCTCTTTTCTACCTGGCCTTTGAGAGGTCATAAAATCTTCCCCCAGAATTTATATGTAGCAGGGTTGTATTTTATGAAACCATGCCTTTCTTAAAGGTGATCTCTTTTTTTTTTTTTTTTTTTTTAGACGAGTCTACATCTGTTGCTAGGCTGAGTGCAGTGGTGCGATTCGGCTCACTGCAACTCTGTCTCCTGGGTTCCACGCCATTCTCCTGCCTCAGCCCTCCGAGTAGCTGGGGACTGGAGGCGCCCGACACCATGCTGGCTAATTTTTGTATATTAGTAGAGACGGGGTTTCAACCATATTGAGCAGGCTTGGTCTCGAACTCCTGACATTGTGATCCACCCAGCTCGGCCTCCCAAATGCTGGGATTACACGGCGTGAGCCACCCGCCCCCTGGCCAAAAGCTCATCTCTTGCCTCTACCACTCCAGCAGCAGCTGCAGTGGCTGCAAATGCTATTTCCACCTAGCTCTGACTCTCCACTTCTAACCAGACAAACAGCAACCAAAAAATCAACAAGTATTTCATAACCACCTATGGGGTGCGCAAAGCACAAAAGGGCACTCATCTTAAAAGGGAAAGACCAAGAATGTGCTAGAGTAAAGAGACAGAGACCCAGACCCTACTCGGAAGATCAAGAAGACTTTCAATCTCGGAGACAGCTTACATTTCCTCTTCTTCTTGATAAACCTCATTTGCCTTTTAAAAATACACTTGCTTTGGGGGCCCAGAATCAAGAAAGGAAAACTTTAAAAAGTAAACAGAAGCTACTCCCCAACGGGAGGCAGAGGCAGATTAACCCCGACAGCAGACATCTGCCCGGAAAAGACAAACTCCACATCTGGCCACCGTTCCCCAGGGGAGGGGGTGGCAAACAGAACTCAAGGAGTTGAATGTCGGTGTCCTGGCCGTTCCTGACTCCCGGATGAAAGCAGCGCCCTCCACCCACAGTTCTCAGGGGTGGAGAACCCTTGGCTCTGGGTTTTACCTGTCTATTCCCAAACCCAGAAAATCACACCTGAGAAAGGGAGAATTCAAATGACCAACGTGCTGAGAGCGCCAACCCCCAGCTTCCCGAAGCTGAGCTGGGAGAGGTCACCCTGGAGAAAGAGACAAAGCCCCACACGGAGCTGAGACCTTTTTCCCCCATACCGGGAAGCCAATGTGACCGACGGCAGGAGAACCCTGAAAGGTCACTGCCAGAGGAACATCTCCGGGTTCCTTCTTCAAAGTTTTCATCAAGATAAAGATGCAGCCTACAGAGATGACAGGAATCTACTCCCACATCAAATCTTCACCAAGATAACGTCCAGATACACAGCTCTGGGTGCCAACATCTAGCTATACATAGCCAGGTATCTAAATATAATATCTAGTTACACCAGTAGCCACACAAGCCCAGATAACCAGTCACAACACCACTGAGAGATGCTGATACCGAGGTAGGCAGTTATCTCAACACCTAGATAGGAAGAAAGAGCTTATGGCGTCCATGTAGGGATGTCTGGAAGGGCAGAGCAAAACGCAACGCGATGACAACGTTAATAGATTATTATCTCTTACTGTTCAATACACATCAATCCCCTCCTTTTACGAATTCCTGGTAAACCAGAGAAGACAGAAAAACCACTCTTGAGGATGAGGAAGTTTCTGTCTCCCACTCACCCAAGCCCAGTCATGAAGACCAAGCTCATTAAGACTGAGGAGGTAGAAGTGAGGCATGGAGAGGATTTGTCAGCTTCTCTTTGATTTGAGAAATTCATATTCTTCAGAAATATATTACACATCTATATATGTATATGATCAGACACAAGTGAGATCGTATCTCATCCCAGCTAACTATTCAAAAAAGCATATAACTAATCTCCTGTAATTCCTATACTTTCACGGATATAGGGATGAAATATACATACACACACAATTCGTTACAATGTTGTTGTACTCTAAAAAAAGACAGCAACCCCTTTCCCCTGGTTCTCCTCTTAGTTCTGACACTGCCAACCTCCTAGGAAAGCCTCCTGACTCTGAAATGGGCCCCGACTCTTCTACTTTCTCAGCCACGTTACCTTGTGCAAGCGACTTGCTTTTCTGAGTCATAATTCCTTCAAGTAAAACCGAAATAAAAATAATTTCTGCCCTGTCTACATCATGGGACTATCTCAGGCTCAAATGTAATCAAGTAACAGGAAAATTCTTTGAAATCCATCAATTACAGCCCAGAAATAACTTCATAGGCAGTGCTGATGACTGGATAGCTAATAAACCCTAATGCTAATAGCCTAATAGCTTACAAGCCCAAGTCTTCCAGATTTGAATCATGAATCTCTCTCTCTACTGCAGTCAGCAAGTAAATTCCCCAAAGTGAAAACAGAACTTGGATTTAATTGCTGATAAATGTATATGGACCACAGTCCCAGGACCTAAGGGAGAATAAGGGATCGTAGTAAGACTCTGGTTTCATTCACTGGACCGGGACCACAGCGAGAGAGATGGCACAGGCAGGGAAATGAGTGTATAGAGCTCCTCAGAATCACAACAGCTTGTTCCCAAGAAGTGAAAAAGAAGCAGGGTGCTGGGGTCACCCTAAGAAGTTCTCTGTGACTCAAAATATCCAACCAGAAAAGCTTCCTCCCCAATTCCCAGGTATTCCTGAGTAATATGAGTTCATTGCCAGAACCGCCGCAAGCAAACGTCCCTGTCTCCTCCCCGTTCAGCCCCGGACTTTGCCAAAGTCAGCTTGGCCAAGGGAATTTAGGAGAATCAGAAAGAGCTAAAAAGGAAGGAGAGAGAGAACAAGACAGGGAGAGACCAAAATGACCATTTTTGTCTTTGGAATTAATGTAAACTTGAAGCCTCACTAGGATCATGAGCCAGAATGGTTTCAGAAAAAAGGAAAAAAAAAACCTGAAAAAAAATTTTTTAAGATTAAGACATATTACGAAATGAGAGGACCCCAAATGGAAAGATTAGAAATGACACAGCTAAACTCAGGTGACTGGCAATTACCATTCTGCTAACATGACATAAAAGGAGAAAATGACGGTTTCTTTTCCCTGGTATGGTAACTTCTCCCAGGTGAGCCACCTTCCTCAGGAGCTAGCTCTCTGCACGTAAAAGTTGGTTCGGACAAACACATCAGACGAAATCTCTCAGACATTTGTTCCGTGTCTTTTATACAGAGAATCCATTTCAAATTCATAGCACAGATTTAGCCAAGATTTTTACCTCTCAGTAACTGAATGGATCCTCTTGGTTTCCAGAGTCCCTGCCACTCATTACAATTCTATTTACCTTTCTCTTTCACTCTCTCTTTCTGCAAAAAGTTTAAAATGTCAGGAAACAACAACATAGGACCAGTGGCTTTTTTTGTTTTCCAAAAGGAAGACTTTTTTTTCTCGTTATAAACCAGACAGGCCCAGCCAGCACATCGGACTGCTGCATTGCTGCATGGTACGTGGAGTGTCCAATGCATACCAAGGGGGTTGTGTGGCTGCCAGGCTGTAAACCTCCTCGGCCTCAGCAAGGCTATGCTAGACAAAGTAGTTTTCCAAGCTAGGTCCTATTGCATCGATTATTTGGAGCCTGTGATCTGCCCCCGCGGTGGGCGATGCACATGGAGAGGGCAGTGGTGACACTGTTTGCCGGTCACCATCAGGAAGGGAGCCCCGTTCTTGCTGGTCCCAGTCCACTTACATTGTGCAGCTTGTAGTAGAGCCCACAGGCATTGCAGACAGGGTCGCCATTGGCGTTCCTCCTCCAGAGTGTGGTCGTGGTGGTCTGACAGTTCGCACAGGACGTCCCTGCTCTCCTGGCTGCAGACTGAGAGTGGGGAAGAGAGGAGAGGGTGAAATCAAAACAAATGGTAAATGTGTTGTCATCACTATGAAGACAGGCTTAAAAAAAAAAACAAAAGGAAGGAAGAAATTGTCATTGAAATCAAAACTAGCAAGTGGCCCACATGAAAGTGACACAGATCCCCAAAAGCTGCCTCGAGAAGAAAAATGTCACCACTACACTGGAGCATGTCAGGATTGCAGTAACGTGGCCAGAATTTCACCCACCACTCTCCGGTAGGAGCAGGAAGCCAGGGCCTCCTCCCTGGCAATCTTAGCCTCTTACCCTCCTCCCACAAAGTACACCAGAGGGTTAATTTTTATGGGTGGTTAATTTTGAATTAGCCAGCCAATTTTGGAACTGGGCTTTCAGTTGCGTTTTTCACCAAGTCCAGGGCCACAAGAGGTCGTTTTCAAACTCAACTCCCAAGAATATCCATCCTCAAATAGGCTCCGGTCATCAGAAGGCACTCACAGCAAAGGAAGCACAAAGTCAAGCACCAGAAACACTCTGGATCCCAAACAAAGAAATGCTGAGTTATCAAGAGAACAGCCTGCTAACACAACAGCAAATTCTGCAAAGAATGTCTGTGCAAGTGAGTGGCATGCACACATGGGTGACACACCTCAGGAACCGCCGAGTAGGACATCCTAAGTCGACAAGACCTCCTAAATTTATACAGCCTGCACTTTCTTGTTTTCTCTTTTCGAGACAGAGTCTCACTCTGTTACCCAGGCTGGAATGCAGTGGTGTGATCTCAGCTCACTGCAACCTCTGCCTCACGGGTTGAAGCAATTCTCCTGCCTCAGCCTCCCTAGAAGCTGCAATTTATAGGCACCTGCCACCTCGCCCGGCTAATTTTTCTATTTTTAGTAGAGACAGGGTTTTACTATGTTGGCCAGGCTGCTCTTAAACTCCTGACCTCAAGTGATCCGCCTGCCTCAGCCTCCCAAAGTGCTGGGATTACAGGCGTGAGCCACCACAGCCTGTGCTTTCAAGCTTGGTCACTTCCCATTCATGAGACAGCCACCCTCACTCTCTTTAGGTGGCTGTCACCTAAATTTGATTCACCAATCAAACAAACTCAAAAGACCAAGGAATGTTGCCACTCGTCAGGAACTCTGGATCCCTTGCCTCCTCTGATACCAGTTCACCTTCGTGAAATCAGGCATTTCCTATTTGCTGTTCACGGAGTAGCATAGTTGCAGGTCAAAGGTCAGCCTCAACTTGAATTTTAATTCCTTGGTTGTGTTACTGCCCTAATTTCCTTTAAAAGAGAGATTTTTCTTTCACTTTTTGACATATTGGAAACTGATCAAGTGACTATTCTCTGTTCATGCTTAAAAAAAAAGAAATGAAAAAAACCGTTGGAAGAAATGGAGTTGGGTCACTTCTAATATTAACCTGTCTCTCCTTCCTCACCTTCTATCATAAAAAAAAAAATTTAACTGCAAAATTATCCCCATTTCCTGGCGGATCAAAAATATTATCAAGAGGAAAGGTAAGAGAAGAAAGAGTTTTAGTCTCTGTCTGTGATGAAGAAAATTCTGGTATGGTGTAGAGAACACAGAGCAAGAACTATAGGGATCCTGGTACGGTTTTGTTTCTGTTTTTCGTTTTGTTTTGCTTTGTTTTGAGACAGAGTCTCCTCCTGTTCGGCCCAGGCTGGAGTGCAGTGGCGTGATCTTGGCTCACTGCAAGCTCCACCTCCCGGGTTCATGCTATTCTTTGCCTCCAGCCCTCCCGAGAAGCTGGGACTGCAGGCACCCGCCACCACACCTGGCTAATGTTTTTGTATTTTTAGTAGAGACGGGGTTTCACCATATTAGTCAGGATGGTCTCGATCTCCTGACCTCATGATCCGCCCGCCTTGGCCCTCCCAAAGTGCTGGATTACAGGTGTGAGCGCCACTGTACCGCCTGGGATCCTGGTACAATTTATATCAATATTTTATCAAGCCAAAAAAAGTTGAAACCAACACCCAAAGCCACCCAAATATGGAGAACCCAGTGGCAATTTTGAATTAACCTGAGTGACCCTTTTTCTTTCAAAGTTGCTAAAATTATGTTCCACAGATATGCTCCTGTGGGATGTAAGTACAGAGCTATACTATGACCTTTTTCAACAAATTTCTTTCTTTTCTGTATATTCTAAGGAACTGAAACTAAAAACTGCCCCTCGATCTTATCACAATTGCGAGCAAAGACTGGAGTCTTTTGCTGCTCCATCTGAATGTTAAATTTACATTTGTTCCATGAGTGTCCATTCTAACCCCATATGCCTTCTGCCAGACTGCCTTTATGAAACGTGATAATTTAAAGGCCCTGGAAACAACTGTTTATTTGTGTACTCTTCAGGAGAAAGTAACAACATAAAACCAGTGCTTAATGATTTTGAACAATTAAATTATTATGCTGCATTATTATCTCTATAGTTTTTTTTTGGTCTTTAGAATAGCTAACTCAAGTTATAGCCAGATTAATATCACTCAGGCACCTGGGCTTTCCTAGCCCAGCAATTCTGAAGTGTACACAGTACAAAGCGTATAATGCCAACTGTAAAATCAGGAGCTCCAAGATGACAAGGCTGTGCAGCGTGTAATCTTGCAGGTCTATTGACAGCAACCTAAATAAAGAGCAAAGGAAGATGCTTCCAGCTACTACAAACTTTATTGCGCGGAACTTTAGGGTCTCTCAAGCCCATACTGTTTGGGTCACTAGCCCAGGAGGTAGAAATATAATTAAGGCAAGCAGCCTCAGCTCTCTCACTAGTGGTGAGATGTATGAAAATCCTGGCAATGCCGGGGGAAAAGAATCTCATGAATCTTCCTTTCAGTTCTCTCTCCTGTTTCCTGCATTAGTTTATTCAAGGTTTAAATATTGCCATTCTCACAGAAGGATGCTAGCCTATGTATGGACTGAGTGGTCTTCAGCTGAATCTGCAATGTTTTCAACAAAAATAGCCAATCTGGAACTGGAATAAGGGTCAGGGAATACAGGAAAGAAGAAAACAGAGGGTTCTATGGTGTTCAGAAGTCAAATAACTACCCTCAGGGCTGAAAAAAGACAGAACAGACGAGGAAAGAAGAGAGAAAGATAGAGAAAGAAAAAGAAAGAAAGGAAAGAAAAGGAAGGAAGGAATGAAGGAAGGAACAGAAGGAAGGAGAAGAAAGAAAGAAAGAAAGAAAGGAAAGAATAAGAAAGAAAGGAAAGAAAGAAAGAAAGAAAGAGAAAGAAAGAGAAATCTGAATGTGTCCTGTGCTCTATCTCCCTGTAGCTTATGAATTCTATAGAACTAAAAACATCAAACCGCCCAAGACAGATGATTAAGAAAGAAAAGACAGATGAAAAATGTGACAGTCATTGAACTCTAAAATTCAAAGCAATTATTACTCAGAGTTCTAGAGCTTTCCTATGAAAGGTGAGTGGAGACAAAATTGTATAAAATGGAAGTACGATCCTCCTCTGCAATCTGACCAGACACAAGAAGAAAACCCAAGAAAATGTCAAATAAACTTTTGCTCACCAATCAGCCCATACCTTAAGACTTTTAATCCCTCTCTTTTGCCTTCTTTACTTTTATTTTAAAAAAAAACAAAAACAAAACAACAACAACAAAAAAACCTATAATGGTACCAAGACACATTTTAACAAGAAGGTTTTTGTTGGTTTTTTTTCCTCTCTCTCTCTTTCTCTCTCTCTCTTTTTTTTTTTTTTTTTTACTAGGGCCAGGTTTTTGAGTGATTCAAAACATTCTTTTGTGGTGTGATCATATTCATTCTGCACTAACACCTCTAGCCTTTTTTTTTTTTTTCAAACACTTCTTGTTCTGATACGTTCAAACATCTTGGTGTTTAGGTTGGGGAAGCTGAGTTGTTGTTTATGAGTTATCTCCAGCGCTCAGATATCCGGCAGCTTTTTCCTAGGAAGTCAGCTTTGCACATGAGAGAAAGGAAAAAAAAAAAAAAACCAAACTGCAGGAGGAGAGCTGGGGGAAGGTTGAGAAAGTTGGAGAAGGGGGCAAAGATCAGAAGGAATAAAGCCTAGATATCCAGGATTGTCAAAGATTAAAGTCATGTGGACATTTCCATCCCTAGAAAGTTTTCCTTCTTCGGCCGGGAGCGGTGGCTCATGCCTGTAATCCCAGCACTCTGGGAGGCCGAGGTGGGTAGATTACCTGCGGCCAGGAGTTTGAGAGCAGCCTGGCCAACAAGGCGAAACCCTGTCTCTACTGAAAATACAAAAATCTGCCAGGTGTGGGGGCGGGTGCCTGTAGTTCCAGCTACTCGGGAGGCTGAGACAGGAGAATTGCTTGAACCTGGGAGGTGGAGGTCACAGTGAGCCGAGATTGTGCCACTGCACTCCAGCCTGGGTGACCAAGTGAGACTCTATCTCAAAAAAAAAAAGAAAGTTTTTCCTTCTTCAAAAGAGGATGTGAAACGTGTTGAGTTGCACTACAATCTGATGGGGAGGGCAAATAATTCTTTAAAAAGAATACAAAGGTGTTCTTTTTCCTCCCTTAGAAATTGATGGATGCTCATGTATCCATTAATCTACATGGGGAAATCCCCTCCTCCCATATCTACTTGGTGAATGTCAGCACCACATTCACATTTTGATCTCTTAGCTGTGGCTAGAGTTGTTATTTTTCTGTCGCTTACATTCACTATTCAAACTTCCAAAGAGGAGCTTGCAAATGAATGTCCCTTGTGAGTCTTCCTTATAAATGCTTGACAGAGCCAGGTTTTCTCAAGGATCCCTCATGCTTCAAAAGTTTTTTAAAGAAAAATGAGAGAGGAGGGAAAAAACTATCCTCTGGTAGTAGTTCAAAGAGAAAATAAGAGCAAATGCCAGGTATGAGAGGACTCACACGACGTTGCCCACAGGAATTGCCTGTGGAAAGTTCTCAAATGCTGAGACCAAGAAAGGAAGGTGGCATTAGGCTCACTGGTTGCTGGTGAAGCCTGTGAAATTCATGTAATCAGCTCCAACCATTTTGAAGCATTAGCATAACAAGTCCATCCACTGCACCGAGTCTGTGATCCTTCCTGGGAAGCCACACACCACAACTTCAGGAACCCATTCTGGAACATTCTATCCTCATACTAAATGTCTCTACCTGTCAAACAGTGCTCATCAATACATTTAAACCAGCTGCTCTGGTCCTGTTCATACCATTACTCTATTCAGGAATACACTGCAGATTTGATAACCAAGAATTCAGTCTCCTTAAAATTTTCACAAGTGACTTAAGAAACACGGATGGGGAAAAAGAGTTGTTCTGTGTATCAAATTTGAAAAAAAAAAAAACTATCCCAAGCCAGCTGACATGATTGGAGGCTATCCTGTCAATCAATTTCCTGCAGAAAGCTGTCCTTCCGGAAGAGAGGAAATGAGAAACCGGGAATGGTCAGCGTGGAATCCATCCCTTCCCGAGAACTTACCAGCCTTCGCTTGGGCTTAATGAGGGGCCGGTTCTGTCCGTTCATTTTGTGGTAGAGCCCACAGGCATTGCACAGGTAATGCCCCGTGCCATCTCGCCGCCACAGTGGGGTCGAGGTTGCTCCGCAGTTCACACACTCCCTGCCTTCTGGAAACAAAAGCACAGATAAGCCACTTACGGAAGGAAAACACGCGGGAAGGCTGACAGCATTTGGAACTGGGGGAAGAAAAGTAAAATGGAGAACTTTTTTCCTTCTCCTTCCTCTTTTGGGGAGCGTGTCCACCCCCCACCTCTTTCCAAGACGCTCCAAAGTTGAGCTGGGGAATGCTGTCCCCGCGTGACCGCTCCCCCTACACACATAGAGGCGCCCGCAGAAGGGGCAGATGCCTCGTTGCAACAGAACCCTGTTCTTGGCTTGCCCGACTTGATGGAGAAGATCGGGCAGGACCGAGAAGGAACGCAGATTCCAGCTCAACTACTTCCCTGAGAAAATCCTGAGCCCTGGATGGTGGCAAAAGCCAAACATTCCATTCATTTCCCTCAAAGGAAAAAAAGGAAGACAAAGGTGACCCATTATCATCATGGGTCTCTCTATAGAGATTGATTAAGTAATGAAGATTAGGAGGGGGGAAAGGAAGGATTAATCAATGGCTAGATAGGTGAACAGATAATAAATAGATGCATAGATTGATCAATCGGCTGATTGATTTCAGTAGCTAGGGTTTTAGATTTTTACTTCCAATCAAACTGTAAACGTCCCCGGCCGGAGAGGAAGCGATTAGGACCCAGCAGGGGTTTCCATAGCTTTCCAGCCACTGTTACAGAGACTGAAGTTAAAGTATGACCCCAGCCAGGGTGTGCAGGGGGGAGATGCAAACTTTAGGCGGGGAACCCGGAAGACGGGGAGGGAGGGAAAAAGGAAAAGGGAAGGTTTGGGAGGACAGACTGAAGCCAATCAGAGGAAGATCAGAAGAGGCAAGTTAACGAAGGGGGGTGGCTGCTCATTAACCAAGGCCTGCCTGCAGTTTCTCTTTTTCCAAAAACACAAACAAACAAAATAAACGAAAAACCGGCCAGGCCGGTAGGGAGTTTGAGCGGCATATTCACTCCCTCAGCCCGGGCTGGAAAATGACCCAGACCCACCCAGAAAACTCCTTAGAAGAATCCCTTAAATTACCATTTCAAGACACGGGGGAGTTTGCTCACTGATCTCAACTTCTGCAGGACGAAGAGAAAGATGCTTTCTAGGAGAATCTCCTTGCTTCTGGGGGCCCAGGGACACCTGGGTCTCTAGTGCCCAGTGTCTTGGTGCCGGGAGAAAGCCAGGACTCCCCTTCCCTGCAGGAACAGGAGGCTCAACTCCAGTTGGTCCCCCAGAGAGGGGAGGCCCAGAGGAGGACCCTGGAGGGTGGGTAAGGAAGAAAAATGAGCCCTGAAGACTGTTTTGTTTTAAGAGAGTAATTAATGACCTCCAACCTGCCTGGACCACTGGGGTGGAAAAAGAGAACCCAGTAGGGTCCTTAGAATTTTGATTCCCCTGAAAGGAGGAAAAATCTGCCTTGGCAGATACGGGACCTATTGGGCCTCTGGAAAGCCCCAGACCAAGTAGGAGGGATCTAGGGGGGGTTCACACTTGGGGGCCTGTGATCCTCTCCAGGGAGAAGTTCTTTAGGAAAGTTAAAGACTTTTGCAAATGGAAGAAGGTCTTGCACCCTTTTCCATGAGAGTCAGGGATGGTGCCCACTAGTTTTTGTCTACTTTGCTTTTTAAAAAAAAAAAAAAAAATTGAGGACATATTTTTTTTTGAGAGGTTTTGTTTTTTGTTGTGTTTTTTTTTGCTCTACATTCCAAAAGGTTCTTAACCTAGGGTCCCCAAAGTGCCTTCACTGTGCCCCAGAACCCCTGAGATTAAACACAAACATGCCGCAGTGTGTGCCAAAGACGCCTTCCTAAGTACCCAACGACTCTTCTCAGTTCTTGAAAAAGACTCAGGCCTGAATCACACCCAGACACCTTTCAGTTGGGGTCAAAAGCCTGAGGGATGTGGCAGACTGGATGTGGGGGAGGCTGGAAGGAAAGAGTGGAGGGTGAGTGGGCGAGCAGCCGGCTACAGCCCAAGCCAGGAGGCCACAGGCCTGCCTTTTTGTGTCCCCGGTGGCCTCTGGGTTAGCTCCTTCTAGGGCAGCACTGGCCCTGTCCCAGCTAGGACTGCAGGCCCACTACCCACCCTGCGCAGACAAGGGACCCCTTAGGGCTCCTCCCCTACTTGGGCACTGGGCAGAGGGCAGTGTGAAGAGAGGCCGCTGTGGCTGGAGGCGGGGAGCGTGGTTGCCACCCGGCTCCTGGGCACCCTGGCGCTGGGGGACCTCCCAGTCTGACGTGATCAGTCTGATTTCCTTTCATTTGCAGCGCGCTGGGGAGGGTGATAGCTTCCTTTTCAGAAACACCTTGAAAGCTAGCAACGGTTACCTCTTCAACAAGGATCTGCACACTAGGGCAATTTTCTGTCTTGATTCACTCGGCAAGTTGGCCATTGCCTCTATGGGCTTTTCTTCTTCTTTTTTCCTTGCTGCCTCTGGTCTGTGACTTCAGCAAACAGCCAATTTTCCTAATGGAGGCCCTGACTCTCTCCTGCCTTCTTTCCTCCCCACTCCTCACCCCTGCCTGTTGTGAGCTGCTCAGGCAGACACCTCTCTCTTAGGTGACAAGAACCACAGAGCTGCGAGGCCTCTTGACATTCAACAGCTGCTGGCAAACGCCTCTTACTCCGCCTTGGCCTGAAACCCTGAAACCAGGCTGTGGGAGGGGGTAGGGAGCAGGGCAGGAGCTTGATCAGAGGACGGTGGAGGGAGATGCCCAACTGGAAAGGTGGCAGGGGAGCTAAGAAGCGGCCCTGGATACAAAGACTCTGTCTTTTGTTTGCAAAAGCTTCGTCCCAGCCCCGAAAGCCTAGGCGTTAAGACAGCACTAGGTGCCCTAACCACAACTTCAACCGTTTCCAGCGACAACCCCAAAAACTCTCTCTTCTCTGTGTCCTCCTTCAGCAAATGCATTTGCAAAGAAGAGGTTGAAGGGGGAAAAAAAATAGAGAGAGAGAGAAAGCAACCACTAAAACCAAGAGAATCCCCTCCTCAAGAATTCCCACCACCTCCACCCCCTGCACAAGGAGGGGCTTCTCAAAACTTCCCCTCCACACTCCCAAAAGTCCCAGCTCTCTCGCCGCCCCTGCCAGGTGTGCTGCTCTTGGTTTTCATGACTGTGAGAAAGGAATTAAGAAGGAGGAAGTAAAAGGGCCAAATTGCAATGGCCTCCTCTCCCCCTTGCCAAAAAACCAAAATCGGTGTATCGGTATTCCTAGCTCTGGCTTGGGGAAACCACGGCCCTCTCTTTCTCCCCTCCATGTTCAGAGTCTCACAGAAAGAAATGAGAGGAAAGAAAAGACTAGACTTAAGGCAGAAAATGTGCACAAGAGGGGGAGAAATCAAACACGGAAATGAGGGTAAAGAAACCAGAGTATCTTGGAAAAGTCACTCTGTCCCCTCCCCCCCGCACAAACCACTACCCCGGCCTCAGATACCACGAGCTCTCCCCAACCTCATAGCCTTACCAGAAAAGAGAACTTTAAAAAAAAAAAAGAAGAAGAAGAAGAAGAAAAAGAAAAGAAATCCCATCATGACCTCAAAATGCACAGCTCTGCTCTCTTTAGATTTAGCGCCCCAGCCTGTGTTTCTGAGTCAAGCTGCACCCCACTTCTCCTTAATCCTTCCCTCCACCCCCAAGCCCAGCCCCTGCCAGGCACTGCGGCCACTTTGTGCCTCCAGCTCTCCCGGCCTCTTGCTTTCTTTTTGACTCCACCAGCTAGCCTGCCTCCCTCTCCCTCCTGCCTACTTTCATGTACTGAACATGCAGGTCTGAGTTCTTCTGTCAGCCTAACCGCATCCGGACTCTATTAAAGTTCCTGGCTCGGGATAAACAATGCAACTGTCGCGTGCAGCAGTCTGAAAATAATTGGATTAGCTAAAACATATCAACTAAATAGAGACAGTCCTGCTCAGGCAGTCAGAGTGAATGTCACCCTGGAAAAAAAACCCTGAAAACCGATCTCATGGTCACTGGGCTCCCAGAGTACTCCCTCTGAAGTTTTTCAAACCGGAGCTTTGGGAGCTCGATTTCAAGGCTGCTCATCTCATCCCTAAAAGACAAGTGATTTTCACGATTGCTTTCTATGTAGGATCTATACAGAGAGAGTGAGCAGAGGCAAGATACCCGGAGTGGATCAGGGAAGAGATGCCCACTCTGAAATGGACACGCCTAAGGAGACATCAAAATCTTCACCAAACCCTGTCTAAAAATACAGTTAAATCGATCTCAGAGAATCCCTAGCTCTCTTTGGACTCGATTACTTTGGTTAGAAATGGAATTGGTGATGGATGGATTGATTTTTAAAGCCAAAGTATTTTGTGTGGGGGTTTTTTTCATGCAAGTAATGACACCAATTGAATAAAAATGCAGCGTGCTGCTAGGCAGCGCTTGCATTTTGGAAAGGAACAGAGCACAGGAAACTGAGATGCACACCTGGAGCACTTTTCCGTTCCTTTCTACCTCCTCTGGCTGCAGCTCAGCCAAGCAATATGTCCTAATACGGCTTCCTGCCCCTGCCTGCCCTGAGAGCTCTAGGAGACGCTTCAGGTAACTAACTGGGCCAGGCAATATTTGATTTTCATTCAACTCGGCTTCCCCAGTGCAAAGCCACCGCTTTCTCTCGGTTCAGCTGAGAGCCCCCTTTTCCACGCAGAGAATATGTGTGCAGCTTTGGCCAGGCTCTTGCACACACACTTTGTATCTACATGTCTGATAAAGGACTGTCCTCACTGCATGGTCCCCTTTGAGCTGAGCGAGAGGAAGAGTCAGAATGACAGAGGCCAAAGGGGTCATAGAGGGACCTGTGTTTGTTTAGGCTTGAGGAGGTTTCGTTTTAGCATGAAACACTCAAGATTTATTCCCTCGGCCTTCCATTTGGTCTTGGAAACTGACTAAAAGTTACCAACCGAATCCAGCAGTCCAGCCACAGGCAGAAGAGGGAGGGCACGACTTTGTGTTTGCTCGTCTTTTTCCTTTCCCAGCTCATTGGGGGGTTTTAAATCAGATCCCACTTCCCCGCTGCTTCCGAAGCCAGGCGTGAGCTAGGATGGCAGGACATGCAGTGCCTTCCCGGCAGGAAGAATAGGAAGAAATGGCATCTCAGCAGGCTTTGGGGCACAGCGGCTCCCCTGAGGGGTCCCTCTAGGTGCGGTCCTGGATTGAGGAAAAGGGGAGGGGGGAGGAGAAGAAAAGGCCGCAGGGGAGAGCTGGCTCCTACCTGTGCTGGACCGGGCCTTGGGCCTCGACTTGCATCCGAAGCCGGTGGGGGAGCCGCCCAGCAGACTGCTGGGGGGGAAGAGTCCGGAGCTGTACTCGGGCACGTAGGGCGGGTAGGTGGTGATGGGGTGGTGGGCCGACGAGGAGGCCCCCCCCAGGGCGGTCATGCTGCCACGGGAGTGGGACGACTCCAGCTTCATGCTGTCGGGCAGCGGCACCTGGTACTTGAGGCACTCTTTCTCGTCCTGCCGGGCCGAGCCGGCCGAGCCCGGGGTGGACAGCGACGGGTCCGGGGAGACGTCTTTAGGTGGGGTGGGCGGGAAGGTGAAGAGGTGCGGGCTGGCGTGGCCCCCCGACAGGGAGGAGGACGAGGCCGGGGGATAGACGGAGAGGGGCCCCGGGGAGCCGTGGTGGATGGACGTCTTGGAGAAGGGACTGAGGTTCCAGGGGGAGGCGGCGTGGTGGCTGCTCAGAGCTTTGCCGCCGTCCAGCCAGGGCAGGGATCCATGAAGCAGAGGCGGGCGGCACACCTGGCTCCCTGTGGGGCAGCGGGGAAAGGGCAGGAGAGAGAAGGAGGGTGAGTGTGACCCTGCAGACACCTGGGGACTCTCTCCCTCGCACCGGCCTCCCTTTCAGCAAAAGTCCAAGCACAGACAAGGGCTCAGGCCCGCTCTCTCATCCCAGTGGTCCCAGGAGTACCTGCCTGGCACACCTGGGGGTCAGGCTGGGGACAGAATCCTTCACCCCTGTCTCCCACAGGGATGTCCCATCAAATCCAGCAGAATGAAGGGCCTGTGGCTGACACCCGAGAGGTTGCTGCAGAGTGAACGGCCCCTTTGCTTATTTGGCCTCTCCAGATACACTGCCTAAATCACATTCCCCAAAGTCTCTCTCTAGAACCTGACTTGATTTATGGGTTTCCTTCAATGGCCCTGAGTTCCCTGCCTCGGACTTAATCCCAGTCAGCCTGATAAGAGAGCCGGCTGTGAGTGAGGAGGCCTGAAGGATGGAGCCCGGCCACACAACTGCTCCACACCAGAAAAAGACCCTGGAGTCAGGCCCAGCTCCCAGCACTGAGTGCAGGAAGGAGAGGCCTTGGGACAGAAGTCAGGAGACTTTCAGGGTTAGTTCCCGGAAACCTAACCCAGTGCTTGCTCAGAATCAGCCAGGCTGCCTGCAAAAGGCCTAAAATGGGATTTGCAGGGACATTTTCATTGCTTGGGCCGTTGGAGAAAGTTCACAAGGCTGGACCCTGGGATGGCCGTTTTCTCTACTTTTCTCACCCTCCCAAATCCTAAAGGAGAAGGAGATAACATAAGCCCCATGCACCCTCAATAAAGCTATGATCCCACCAGTGCCATAGGTGAATTTTCACCTGAGCCCCAAAGACACAAAATTCCAGTTGATGTATATATTTTAAATCAAAGATGACTCAGACACAGAGTCTGCTTAGCCTTCATTTAAAACACACACTCTTAAAGTAGCTGTAACTCATACACTCTGAGGGGTTCATTTAAAAAGCAAGTGCAAATCCACACACTTCTTGATCTTTAAATCCGGTACCTGCCTCAGCATTTGACATTCGATTCAACCATTAAGAACAATACTGAAACTAAACTTAAGAGAGAGGAAGGGGAGGGGAGTGGGGAGGGAAAGAGAGTTCTCTGAACACCAAGGGTCAAGATTCATATTATGCAGGAAGTAGTATAGTAAATAATATTAAGTCTGCCTCTACCGCATTTCCACTTAACTGTTGATCTGCACAGAACGTGGGCAGAGAGCGCCCCATCCGCAGAAACGATTGTTTAAAACCTGGCGACAGCAGGGTAGAGGACGCCTGCTGCCGGAGGGGCTATGTCATCGGTGCCAAGGCAGGCTCTAAGTAGGGGGATCAGGGCAGAATTCGGTCTGGCTGGACTCAGAAAGCCTCACACTTTTTCTGACCCATGTTTTGCCCCTGTTTCTTCTTTAGGAACAAACTTAGAGCTGGAAAGTATTCGATCATTTTTTCCTCAAACTACACAGGCCCGGTCTTCTTTTTTTACATTTCAGAACTCTCCTAAACTTCTCCAGGTGAAAGGGGAAAGAGGTGGTTCTGGAATTGCCTCTATTTAAACGGGGGTGTATGCTACATCTTAGGTGGGAGGTTAGTGGAGGGCAGTACCCAGAGACAGAGTATAAGACAAGAGTTGCAGGCATGGAGGCAACTTGAAAGCAAAGACGCAGGAAAATTCTGTGCAGCCGGGAATCTGGGAAACGTCAGATCCCTCAAACTTAAGACAAGGGTCTTCCCCTCCAAATCCCTTCAGCATCAGAATTCCATTCCTGAAGCCAAGAGGTAGGAGATCTGTCTAAAAACCAAAGGCACTAGCTTTGGGAAAAGGTCAAGGAGAAGGGTGTGAAAAAATAAGTCTCTGGGGCCTTTCTGAAAATGTGTGAATTGAGGGACGCTGGCAGAGGCCGCCCCCCTAGAAAGAGCTAGCGGGTAACAGGGAACGCCAGGTTTTTTGGAAGAGCCGGGTTCCAGTCGGGCTTGGCCGGCGCTGGCTACCGGGCCCAGAGAGCCCGGACCCGTGGAGACAGAGCCAGGGCACCCCACGCCTGGGGACATCCCGAGACCCCCCAAAACCTGCAGCCGCGCAGGAACGAAGGGCTGCGGCCTGGCGCCTGCCAGGTGAGCGCCAGGCCACAGGGCCACCAGCCGGGAGAGGCGCCTGCTGCGACTGTTTCAAAACACACTCTCGCGACGAGCCAGAGGCCTTCCTTGCCTATTTCCGGGCCCCAATTTTTTTGTAAATGAACCAGGAACGGCAGATGGGGGCTTTCGATTGACCTCTCCCCGCCCTCAGGTCCTTCCCGACCTCCCCGAGCCGGGACGACTGACGCAGCCGACAAGAGCCCCCGCACCCCGGGCGCACTCACCGTGGTGGGTCGGAGGGTACCTCTGCACCGTGGCCCTGACCGAGTTTCCGTAGTAGGGCGGGACGTGGTTGCCTTGACCGTCGATGTTAAAAAGCACATCCACCTCCTCCGGCAGCGGGTACTGCGCCGGGTCCATGTAGGAGTGGCCGAGGCCCGGGTGGTGCGTGTCCGGGTGCTGCCCGTTGAGCACGGCGGGGTGGTGGTGGCTTACCCAGCGCGGCTGGTCTGCCGTCACCTCCATGGCCTCGGCTGCGCTCGCGCCCTCTCGCCGGGCCCGGAACCCGCGCGCGGGGAGGGAGGGCGGTCGGCTTGGGAGGTCGGGGGGCTCCTGCCGTCGGAGGGTCGGGGGTCGTTGAATGATTTGCTTTCGGTGGGGGGATGGGAAGGCTGGGAAGCAAAGGTGAGCAAAGGAGAGGATTTTTAAAAAATAATCTTGGAGGGGTCTTTTAGCAAAGAGAAGACGGGGAAGACAAAAATCCAAAAACTGGGTACGGCAGGATAAAAGGGAACCAGGTTGTAAAAAGGGGCGACGACTCTGGAATTCTGCGAGCCAGGCTCCTCTGCACCGGGGTCCTCAGCCGCTCCGAGGCGGAGTCCCTTCCTGGGTCACCTGCAAGGGAGAGAAGGGGAGACCTGGATGAGCCCCTGGGTTGCTGGAGTGGCACCACCTCCCTTCGCGCCGCCCGCCCGCCCAGCGCACCCGAGACCCGCACAGGCGCGCGGGGAAACGGCCAGGGAGCCCGCAGGACTCTCAGGGACGTCCCTGCAGCCCGACTCGCGGGAGCCGGGGCTGGCTGAGCAACTTGGAGGACAAGTCCCGGGGCTGACTGTTGAAAGTTGGAGGACAAGTCCCTCCCTCGGGGACATCGGTCCCGGGACCGTCCCCTCAGCACCTAGAAAACCTCCAAAAGAGGAGAGTTGAGTTTTTAAAATTGCTTTACGTCCTCCCAAGTGGTTGGGGGCAAAAAATAAAACGTAAAAAAAAAAAAAAAAAAAGTCACCAGTACCAACCTGGGTAGCGAAGAGCAGAGAGGAGGAGGAGGCGGCGGCGTACGACCTGCTCGGTCAGATTGCGTAGCTCGCTCTGTCTCGCTCTCCCTCCGTCTCTCTCACTTCTTCTCTCTCTCTCTCCCTCTCTCAGTATTTTTTTTTTTTTTTTTTTTTTTTACAGGGAATGCATTCTTTCTGAAAGTATCAAGACGGCGCCAGGCAGCTCAGTGTTCGCAGACAGCTGTGGCGCGACGCAACTTAAGGAGGTTCTAGTGTCATCCGCGCCGAGGGGGGAGGAGCCTGGCGCTGGCGAGTAGGGGACAGGATCCCCGGCACAAGGAAACTGCAACCCAAACCGGCTCCAGGACTTCTCCCCCCGCCCCGCGCACCCCCGCCCCTCCTCCCGCCCCTCCACTGACCGGAAAGGGGCGCCGCAGAGGGCGGCCGCGGGCGGAGGGGCGGCGGGCATGGTGGGCGAGGCCCGCGGGGCTTGGGGGCGGACGGGAGGGAACGCGCGCTCTGGCCCTTTAAATGTGGCCGCGGCTCCTGCCGATTCATTCGGGTCGGGTGGACGATTCTGTCCCAGTGCAGCCAGCCTGCCCCATTCATGAAGTTCATTTCGATGGGCAGATTTTTCTTTTTCAGACTTTTGAACAATAGGCACGCACGGATCGTTATTAGGATCCAATGCAGACTGTTTGGGAGAGCGCAGCGATGTGGGGAGACGTGCGCGTTAAATTGATCAGAAAAACAAAATGTTTCGTGTGAAGGTGCTTTGAGATTTGCCTCTCCGGCCGACTTCCTAAGAGGGTGAGGCATCGGGTAAAGGAGAGATGCCTTTGACTGGAGCGCCCGTGTCAATTTTGTTGTCACTGTCACCTCTTTCCCGAGCCTTCTGCGCTCTCGAGCCCCCAGAGTGAACACGCTTCAGCTGTTGCAGCTGCCCTTTCCAGACCTAATATTTGTAATCAATGTGTGCTTTTGACTTGAGTGGCAACAGTGAGGGATTAGAAGGGGGGAGGGGAGGGGAGGAAGAGACTGGCTCTAACTCATTCCCCGAGTACGCTCAGTGTAGACGGACAGAAAGAATTCGGTCTTCACTCCAGGGACCCAACTTTTCCTTTCGCCCCGCCCGGAGCCCTACTTACTCTGGCTCCCGGCGTTTCTCCCCCAGTCGAGGAAACCAGCCCTCAGTCTGCACCGACCCCAACCCCGGCCTCTGGTCGGGACTCCACGGCGACCTTTCCCGGCTCGCGGGTCTCCAGGCCACGCTCTGCGCAATGGGCACCCCGGCGCGGAGGGCACACGGCTGCAAGGCGCCCCAGAGAGGGGGGCGGGGCGAGAAGGGGCGGGGCAGCGAGGGGCCAATCAGCGGGCGAGGCTGCGAACTAGCCGCGATTGGCCCGCCCCGCGGGCTCCAACCTGCACGGCCCGCTCGGTCCTTTGAGCCACTGCATCCCCTAGTGGCGCCTGGGTGGCTGCAGCCGCCGGCCCGAAAATGCTGCTCGGGCGATCAGGGGTCAGGCGGGAAAAGAAGACTCCAAATCCACTCTCTGCTCGCCCCCAGGGCAATGCTGCGAGAAGAGGGAGTGGGTTCCCCCGCAGGCTATCCCACCGATGGGGCTGAGACCTTAATTTGGGGTTTTATTTGGAGACATTGTTCCCTCTTCGCTCCTCTACCCCATAAAATTCCCTACAAATGCAAAAATTCGAGATAGAAGAAGCCGTCCCTGAAAGTAAGTTCTGAAGGATTCCTTTCATGCGGTGAAGGAACATCAATATTCAGCTTCAACTTGGTGTGTGAGGGTTGTCGTGTTTTAAAACACTATCTCTGTAGAAAGATTAGTGAAATGTATTGGAAGAAGTAGTGGAAACGTAGCTCTTCCTGGTCTTGCGTTTGGATCTTCTTTGGAGTCCTCACCTTCTTAAATCTGATGTTTGTTTGAAATCAGGGCTGAATTTCCATATATAGGACAGAAAGAAAGAACCCTAATTTTTTTTAAAGAAAGCTCTCCCCCCACGTTTCTCCTGAGCCCTCTTGGTCTCCCGTTATTAGGCGGCCCAGTTAAGAGGCATCGATTTTCCTTTCATTCTCTGACCACTCGTCTCTCCTGGGCCAGCCAAGCTGCCCGCATCTTCTCCTGCTCACAGCGCTCTCTAAACCTTTTAATTATTTAGTTGCTGTCTAACATTCACCGGAAACCTCTCCATAGACAAGGAGAAACGAACGCACATGCATTTTTTGCTAAGAAGCCCGGGATTAAGATGAAGGATAGAAGCTGAAAGAAAAAATGAAAAATGTTTCTCCGCCCGTCAATCGGGGGGTGGATGCGCCACGCAGCGTGAGCCCAGCTTACAGCCACGCGTAAAACCAAGAGCAGCCCTGGGTCCTGCGCGCGGAGACCTCAGAGCCGAAGAGAGAAGTCCCCGCGACAGAAACGCTGCGGATGCCAGGTCTTGAAAATGCTAACTTCTGAGGCTAAGAATTATTTTAAAGACAAAAAGAAAAGACTGGTGAGGAGGCCTTCCGGTGCGGAGGCTCCTCTCCGCTAATTTTGGATGGGGAAATGGGGATTATTCGTTTAAATTCAGTTGTCAGGACCAAGTCGGACTGGCCGGGGATGGAGAACAGCAACCCCCACCTTTAGAAAAATAAAAAATCTCCGAAGGCCCTTCTTGGTCTGGGTGGTTTGAGGCTGGCAGAGAGGGGTGGGGGGCCTGGGGCTGGATGCCCCGGGTAATGGAGCCAGCCGGTAGGGGGTATTTAACATTTAATTCCCAGCCGGTCCGCCCCTGTTCCCGGACTGACAGTGGGTAATTGGGAGAGAGGACGTTGCTCTTTTGATGGCCCGCGCCGGCCAGTCTCGCCGACGCCACACTGGGTTTGACGTCACGGGCCCAGCCCTGGAGCCCGGAGCACAGGGCAGCGGGGGAGGGAAAAGGATGGGAGGGGGATACCGAGGAGGGAGGGCCGAGGTCGGCCCCGGGACCCACGGGGAAGGAAGGGGGAAGGGATCGAGGTTGGAGAGGCTGCGGCGCGTGGCCTGAGGCGGAGAGTCGGGCTGCGGGGGTCCGGGCCAGGCCCGGCGCCGGCATGACCCGCCTCGCCAGCAAGAGCAGGCCGGGCTTCCTCCTCCCTTGGCGGGCGGGGGAGGGGAAGGGGGCTCCTGGCCGGGGGGAAGGGGGAAAAGGTGGTCCTGATTCTCCCTGTGCCACAGCCACAAAGCTGATCCTGGCCTCCTGCGGGGGAGCCTGAGCGCCTTCCCGCAGACCTGACGCGACCCCTCCCCAGGTACCTGGGCCTCGGCCTGGTCTAGCGAGTCCCCTTCCTCCCAAGGAGCAGCCAGCGGAGCTCGGGTGGAGGAAAGCGAGGAGGCGACCAGGAGGATGCCGCCGCCGCCGCCGCCGCCGCCGCTGCAGGGCCCGGGGCTTCTGTAGGGCACAAGGCCTCCCTCACCAGGGTAAGGGACTGGCGATCAACCTGGACGCCTAGGACCCTGGGAGCAAGCATCCCGCAATCGAGCAGGCGACGGCACGGCCACCGCCTGGAGAGGAGCCGGGGCCCGGGGCGGCGTGCGGGGCGGTGGCAGCCGGCTTGGCCTATCCGAAACCCCAGGCCTGGAAGCGGCTGCTTTAGGCGTCAAGTTGAGCCGGGTATGTGTGTCCTCTTGGGGAAAAGGTGAGAAATGGAGCCAGAGTTTCTCCGCTCGGTAGGGGTTAAGCTGGGACCCACACACACCCCTAAACACATGCCCACGTGCAAGTCCCTCCCACCCGCCCTCCCAGGGGCGAAGAGACCCTGTCCCGGTGGAAGTGGGGAAACCCAGTCGGGTACAGAAAGCAGAGGCCATGGCGCAGAGAGGAGTCGCGGCTTTCCGGGGCTCAACCCTAGGGCTACGGACCCAGGGTGCGGAGATGCTCGGGCCACCCACCCGAGCCAGGCAACCGATGCTTCCAGGCGAGCTCCGCGGGGCCGAGGTGCCTGGAGAACCGGCCCCGGGCGCCCGCGCGCTGCCGGACCTGGGTAACCGGCAAAGTGGAGCCCCGGGATCGAAGTCCTAAAGTTACTAATCCCGCGCAGGGGGAGACAGCGTGCCTCGGGCCGCCCGGGGCGGTCATTTGAGCGTGTTTACTTAAAGACTTTGCAAGCAGAGCGCGCGCGAAATCGTCGGATTTCCAGCAAGGCAGCAAATATTTGCAGGCAGGAGAAAGAAGCGGAGCCGAGCCGCGCCGCCGAGTCCCTCCCCCCTGAGCCCCGGCGCCGGCCTGGGCGGACCCGGCCGCGCAGTTAAAGACAGAAAAGAAACCGGGAATCTGCAAGGCTTGGGGGGCGGGGAGCGACACGAAAGGCCAGAAACTGCAGCACGGCCCGAGGCCCTGGCGAGCCGGGCCTGGGGGAGGAGAAGTCCCTTCCCATTCCAGCTCGATCAATCTTGCTGGGCTGCGATCGGTCAATAAAAACAGTGTGAAGCGGCCGCTGTCGCTGAGTCTGAGGAGGAAGTGGAGGCCAAAGGTGTCGAGGCCGGCGCCAGCGCCCAGCACCAGCCAGGTCCGCGGCCCCGCGGTCTGCACGCCGTAGGCCGGGGGCCAGAGCTTTGCCGGGAGCAGAGCACCGCCCGGCGGGGCCTTTAATTGGGTGTCTCCATTTTAATAGAGGCCATTGTTCGAGCAATTAGCGAAAGACAATAACCGCCCAGAGGCGTTTAATTCGATTCCCTGCGCCTGCCGCAGTCCGCACCGGGGCGCTCTGGAAGAGTGGCCGAGGCTGCGCGGAAGGGAGGGTCCGCTTGGGGAGGCGCCGGCTCCTTTCCTTGCTCGCTTTGCCTTCAGTGTGGGAACTGGAAAGGGAGACTGGGGCAAGATGAAAGCGGGGCGAGGGCGAGCTGAGCCAGGCCAGGGCGGGAAACCTGTCCCCGGCCTCGCCAGCCCACGCCGGGCGCCCCCGGGACCGCAGCGCCTTTCGCTGCGCGCGTCCAGCTGTGGCCGCCGCGCAGGTCCCCAGCGCCTGTTCAAAGGAGAGAAGCCGGAGGACGGGGTCGTGAAAACTGGCTTCCTTCCTCCTTAGCCCCAGGTCCCCATTTCGGTCACCCGAACCATGTCCAAATTTCCTTCCCTATGGTGGGAGGAGGGGCAAAGGAGAGATCCCGGATAGTGGCGCGCGCACACCTCCCTCTCCAACCCAGCCAGTCTCACTGTCCCCTCCTCCGCCTCGGCCCCTGGATTAGGTTACCCTGGCCGAGCGAGGGTTTTTACTGGATAGGACTATAGCACAGGTAAAGCTGTGTAAACAGCTCGCCGGCTGCCGGGCGGGAGGGTTATGCCGGGGACACGGCTCCAGGCGCCACCGCTGGCCCCGGCTGAGCGGGCCACACCGCGGGGAGCTCGCTGCGGCACGGCGCCCCGGACCGCTCAGGTTAAATACATATTATCTCTGCATCTGCCACCCGGGCCCCCTTTTTCTTTCCCTGGCGAGCTGAAATGCGGAGAGCAGGGAGCCAGATCTAAACGGGAGAAGAAAGCAGCAAGGCAGTGGGCAATGCTGGTTGAGGATCCCGGCCCAGCAAGGCTGGCTCTTCTCACACAAAACCCAGCGAGCAGGGAACTTGGGGGAAAGCAGAGAAAGAGGGACCCTAAAACTCACTGGCAAAGGGAAGATGATGGAGGCGGGTGCGTCCAAGGGGCAACTCTCCCCGCGGCCCCCACGCCCACGCGCCCCGGGCCCGGAGTCTACCTTCCCTGTGAAATGAGCCATCGTTTTGGGGGTGGTATGTGATTTGATTTGCCCTTTTTTCTTTTCCTTCATTTCTTTTTTCTTTTTTTTTCTTTTTTCTTTTTTTTTTCTTGTTTGTTTTGCTTATTCATCTACCACCGTTTAAAATTCGGAAGGAAACCCGCCCAGGCCAGGAGGAGCCGCGAGTGGTGGGGAGAGTCAAAAAAGAGGAGATGCGCTGGGAGATTACCCCCGCCCCCGCACTCCGCCCCCAGCCCAGCCCCGGCCTCCACTTCGAGGGATCCTGAGCCTCCCACAGCCACTACCACCTTTTCCCCGGTTGAGAAAACCCCTGATTGTAGCGAGATAACAATTGGGTAGGTAGGGGTGCAGCGGAAAGGGGGAGACGGGAAGGGAGAAGGCAGGGGATTTCTGCTTTCGGGTTTAACAATGCACACGTGAGGCGGGCGGCAGTTGGGGGGAGCCCTGGGTTGGGTGGGAGAGGAAGAACTCGCCTTGAGAGTGAGTGGAAAGGAATTGGAGTCACTGTGGAGGAAAAGTGCCCTTTTCAGCTCTCTCCCTCCCTCCTGGCCTTGGCAGGTGGGGGGACAGGTGGATGCCGCCGGAGAAAAAGAAGGGATGGAGGCAGCCCAGCCGGCGGCCCTGGGTCTCCAGGGTAAACCGGGACCGCTTACCCTGCGCTCGGCATCAGTGACTCTTAGGAGCTTGCTACTTCTAGACCCGGCCTCTCCTCCCTCCCAGGGCACCCCTTAGCCTCACCGCTATAGCACCCAGGACTCCAGCCCCTGCACCTAGGAAAGGCTCCAGCCTGGCAGAAATTCACCCATTTCAAGGCTTGGCCCACCAGGCCTTAGCATTGCCGGGTGAGGTGAGGTGCACGCGGTTCTCAGGACGGCCAGTCGGAGTCACCTGCTCCACTCCCTCCGCCTGGACACCCACCTCCTCACAGCCACCCAGCTCCTGAGGCCCCTGGCCAACTACAGCCCCAGCCCCCAGCGCTGGCCTCAACCCAGTCTCCTCCGTCTGCTTCAGTTTGGCCTTTTTGGAGGAGAAGGAGGGCTTTATCTGGGGACTATTGTGTTTTGACTCCTTTATATTAGCCAAGGAACTGGAGTGTGATTGTAGCGGGACGATCTGGCAGGCGGAGTGTTCACAGCAGGGGTAGGAAAAGAGGGGGAGGGGGACTCCGTTCAGATCCTGGAGACAGTAGAGGCGCACTTTTAAAAGCACAAGCCGTTCGTGTCTTCCTAGAGACCCCCTGGTAAAAAATCCATGTTTGTGCCTGGCTCAGAGGTGCAAAGGAGGAGGTTTGGCGTGCGCACCCTTCTCCCGGCCTGTCTTGGTCCCGGGCTGCCCCCTACCCACAGCCTCTCCCTCCCGGCAGCTCTGCTGTAGGCTGCCTTCCATCTCGCGGACCCCAAGCAATTTGTTATATAAAACAAAACAGCAACCAGACGCATGTGCCTGTTCTTCACTAGCGCCAGCAGTCCAGCAGCGACGGACACCCGGCGGACCTCAGCCGGGACGCCTCGGGCAGCTGCTTCTTGCTCACTGCCGCACCCACCTCTGCACCCCAGCTCTGGTCAGCCCAGCAGCCAAAGCAAAAAGGAGATTCCTCAGTTTCCTCCCTTGGAGGCTGCAAAACCTCCCTCTGGTTATTCCAACCATTAAGGAAAAAAGAGGTGATGGGAAAGATTTGGTCTGCACACAAAGACATACTAGGAGAAGAGTGCGCATTTATGTATAAAATAGCCCAGGCACCAAGAATGAGACATTACTTCAGTACCTCCTAGAAATGGTTAAAAATAACTGAATGCTAGAGGACAGAAGTGGTTTTGGGATCTGCCCCACACACCTTATCAGGATCCCTAATTCCCTGCCATCTCCTGTGGTTCCAGGACACAAACTGCTGTAACCTCCAGAAGAGGGCTTCTCAGCCACCTGGCTCCCACGTACCTGCCGGTTCCCCAGGCACACTGTGTCCCGGGGCAGCTGGAAACCCTAACAGAAAACCCCTACCGAAGAATGCTCAGGAGTTCCCACTCCCATCCCTTCTCTGCACCCCTGACTGTCCCCACCTCATTTATCTTTTGCAAGAAGGCAGGTTGCAAATGTCAAATAAAGAAAAATGCAGCTTGCCAGGTCTCCTCGCTTTTGGTGGGGACAGAACAGCCCCAGTGCTGGGGCTGGCAGAGACCTCTTGTGCAGAGTGGAGGATGGGCCCGTGGATTGCAGCCACTCCGCATTTTCTAAGCCCTGCGGCTTCTTGGGCCAGGGACTTTGGGCTTTAGGAGGCAGCTGGCTGGAAGCTGCAAGCAGAGCCTCCTGCTTGATCCCACCGAGAGACTCCATAATCAGACCCCCCATGCGACCAGACACCCGATGGGGTCTTGGTCTGAACTGACACCACACCCCGACTGGGTTCAAATGGGTAGAAAACAATTTCATTCTTCTGAACGGCACAAATAGGTCATGGTAAGCCCCTCACACACACACACACACACACACAGACTACCAGCCATGTGGGCCCCCAAGCATCTCATTTACAGATGCCTGGATGGACTCAACATGACTGGCTAGCCCCCAGCCCACCCATGGTCACTACCACTACCTTCCCTGCAGCAGCCGGTAAGCAGAGGAGACTTCGGAAATGCTGCTTCATCACGTATCCCTTTAAAGTTCTTAATGTCCCATCTGCGACCCCAGCATCCTGGTGAGCATGGACAATGGGGAGGAGAGAAGGACCAGGAAATATGGGAACCAAGCCGAGGGAGATGCTGCGCCACTGGACTCCCTTTCCTCCCTGCCCTTGCCAGAATCACCCGTGTCACTTTCCTCAGGCACCCTGTCGGTATCCCAGAGAAAGAAAAGGGGTGTATAATAGCAGCTGTCCTGCCCCGACTCACTTCACTTCTTTGACATTTTAACATTATCTGTCTTCAGGGGGCAACTGCCTTTGAGTGACTTTTTGGAGGTCTGTTGGTCTGATGTTCCAGGAGTTAAGTCCACATCTTTTCCTCTCTGCTCCTTCCGCTTCGGATGCCCCTGGGCAACCTCTGGGGAGGCTGCGGTTTTCTCACCCACCTCAGGGTGCTCCTGGAAGCAAAGAAGCCTCCCAGCCCCTAGCTTCCCGGGGGAATGCCAGATGCTGACACATCTGGGTTCCAACTTTATCTTACAGCGCACAGCTGTTTATTTAATTGTATGCAGAGACAATGAGCCTCAACACACGCTTTAAAACAGAGGAAAATAAACACGAAATTGACACTGAAGCCACCTTTAGGAGAAGACTCCTGGGCACAGGGGTTGTTTTCCCCAATCCTCTGCCCTCCTTGCAGTGGGAAACGTGTCTCCGGCCCTTTCCAAGCGTTCCCACGGGCTCTCATTCTTCCGCTGGGTTTTTCTTCACATCCCTACTTCTACCAGCTCTTTCCCGCAAACGAGGACATCCACACACTCACACACCGTGCCCGCCCAAGGTCACCACAGAAACCCAGAGATTTCCAGGGACCAAAAAGAACAATAAGAACTGGGTTCTAGTTTAGTTTCTTCCAGAGGCAGTCTGCCCTTTGGAGAGGAGGCCTCCTCCTAATTCTCTCCACGTGGAGCGGGGAGAGGGCGTGCGGAGTTAGAGAGGGAAGAGAGTGATATTCACTGACCTGGGCAGCTCGCTCCCGAGGGCCAGCTGTTTTTTATTTTTTTTTCCTGACTCGCCCGGAGATCTGAAGGCAGAAATGACAGG